TGGTATTAAGACTTAGTTTGTTAGAGCGCAGCCATTGAAGAAGGTTAGATAAATCATGGTTAATATGTTTGTTAATTTTTTTTAATGATTTGTTAGTTATGAGGAAGTTGGTGTCGTCAGCAAAATGGTAAGCCGTTGAAAATTTTAGAGAGATATTAAGATCATTTATAAAAATAAGGAAAAGCAATGGTCCTAATACAGAACCTTGGGGTACACCAGTGGAGCATTTTATTGGAAAAGATTTGGCATCATTAATGGAGACAAATTGCGATCTATTAAAAAGATATGATGAAAACCATTGGAGAGTGTTACCTCGAACACCGTAGTGTTCCAATTTTTTTAAGAGGATGGAGTGATCAACAGAATCAAAGGCTTTCTCTAAGTCAAGAAACACTCCACATGCAAAAAGCTTATTGTCAAGAGCATTTCTAATAGTTTCAGTTATTTTAATAAGTGCATGAGTCGTGGAGTGTTTGTTACGAAACCCATACTGATGTTTGTAAAGACATTGGTTTTTGTCAAGAAAGCTATAAAGTCTGTTGTACATGGCTTTTTCAAATATTTTACTAATGTTAGATAGAAGAGAAATCGGTCGATAGTTTCTGTGATCCATTAGAGAACCCTTTTTATGGATAGGAATAACTTTGGCTATCTTAAAAACATCTGGAAAAAAACCTTTATTAAAAGAATTATTTAATATGGTACAGAGAGGCTTGCAAATAACATGAGAAGTAAGTTTAAGAAGGTGTGTGGGGATACTATTTGGTCCAAAACTTTTACCATTTTGTAAACTATTTTTTATTAAATTAGATACCTCATTTTCAGTCACTGGATTAAGAAAGAAAGAATTCGAATTAGCATTTTTTAAATAGTCAGAGAAGATACTTTTAGAAGAAATCATTTTACTTTTGGGTGGGTGTTGTATTGTTTCATAGTATTTGTTAAAAATGTTAGCAACAGCCATACTGTCAGAGATAGTGTAACCGTTAGACTTAAGAGTGTAAGATTTAATTGGTGTAGAGGGTTTGATATTAATAATTTCTTTTATTCCTTTCCATGTATTTTTTATATTGTTGAAGTTTTTGTTAAAGAAGGAGATGTAGTATGACTTTTTGGAAATTCTTAATAAATTGCTAATTTTATTCCTGTACAATTTAAATTTATCAAATAGTTGACTTTTTGTGTTGCAATTTTTAGATTTTATATACTTTTTGTAGAGCTTATTTTTAATTGTAATTGACTTCAGAACTCCATTAGTAATCCAAGGTTTAGATTTGAGTTTAACTTGGTTTTTGGTTAGTTTTTTGTACGGGGCATGACGATCAAGAATTGTGTTGAATGTTTTTAAAAAGAAGTTCATTGATTCATTGACATCATCACCATTTCTGATATAAAACTTCCAGTCAATATTAGAAATATCCTGAATAAATTCATTATCATTGAAATTCTTAAATGATCGTTAATTTTGTACTTCATGACTGATGATTGCCTATAGGCATGAAACTTTAAGTTCCATTAAAAGTTTTTTTTTTCTATATTTAAGCATATATATATATATATATATATATATATATATATATATATATATATATATATATATATATTTAAATATAGAAAAAAAAAACTTTTAATGGAACTTAAAGTTTCATGCCTATAGGCAATCATCAGTCATGAAGTACAAAATCAAAAACAAAAAAACCGTTAAAAAATTACAAACTACGGTAGAATGAGTTCTGACGTTTTAGTACAAGAAGACGTTAAGGAAAACTAATTTCCGCTATCATACAATGAAAGGAGATATTATTTTTGTGTCTACATTTAGAAACTAGTTCGCCTCTTTTATTTAGCAGGTTATCTCCTTCGTATAATAATATTTCAAATTTCTCATTTAAACAAAGCTTATAAATTTTTGAATATAATTAAATTTTTTAAATTATATTCCATTTGATTGAAGATGTAATATTGCTTTCTTTTAAGTCCCATACTTCCTTAGATAACTCAGTGTCGTTCTTGTACTTTTTTATGTCAAAAGATTTTAATTGGTTCGCATAACGTAGCTTAAAAAAGGTTTCGCTTATCCCAATGTATAACCTTATCTTTGTATTAAGGTTTATTTGAGCTTACAGTAGGGAGTTTAGGCAACTTTTTTAGCAAGTGCAAATATTTTTTATTTTAATTACATTGGATTCCTTAATATATTTCATTTTCATAAAGGTTTCAACCACTTCTGTAGCTTATTTAGTTCCAAAGATATACGTATTTTAACATTTTCTGTTCATAGACTTTTGAGGAAATATTTTCTTTAAGTATATCGTTAACTTTTTGGCACCGAAAAAAAAACTTTTTTATAGTTTTTTTTTTCTTGCGCGTTAACAAACTTTTAATAAAATTTTATTAGAAATTATATAACAATTTATAAATATAACTTTTTTTAACAGTGAAATATGTTTTAAACTTTTTTTAACATAATTTAAATTTTTAAATGTTTCAATTTAACATTTAGCGTAACAAAACTTTGAGCGTATTAAAACTTTGAAAAATATTAACTTAAATTACCTTTTATTAAAACTTTCTTTAAGGTCCCCACCAATTTTGAAATCTTTTTTAGAAAAAAAGTCGATTATTTAATAACATATTTACGATACATATTTTTTTTGATCAAATAAATTAAATACTTTGCCCATAATAGGTTTTTGAGGTCCTTAACAACGCCATGGCAACGGATTTTTAAACAAGCATGTTTCAACTCGTTCAAACTTGTAAGCAATAATATCTTTTTTCTACAGCTTTATATTTATTATGTGCTTTATAGTTAGTGGAGGTTTTTAATTAAGACATGCTTCTTTTTGTAATATAACACACCTTTTCTTTGTTTTTTTGTATTTATCTCAAAACTTTTAGATTGGGACCATATGCAAACTTGAAATTTTCATGAGTGCTTTTTTTATTGTTCGACTTAGGTAATGAACCAGAATTACAAATTAATATGATGTCAAAATATGTTTAATACGTTTTTTTCTTGTCTTTTTTTGTTAAAAGGTTTTATAAACCTATTAAAAGTTACTTTTAAAATGTTTAATGCATATTCATTGCATGATTCTGGTTCTTAAAATATCAAGTGAAAAACATGGCCCCAAACTAAACAGACCAAAAACGTTGAAATACGTACAAAATAAGAATGAATCTAAAATTTATTTTCACACAACAAAAAAAAAATATTAGTCAACAATTTTTAATAATTTCAGTGTAATCATAGATTCAAAAAGGAAATTTAACAGCTTAGAGTCTGCTAAGCGGTTAAACTACCCTAAAAAAAAAGTAACCTACTGTTAAAAAAATTAGAGGATAGCGGAAGTTTTAAATGTTCCTTAAAGTTTCTTTTTTATTATCATTTTAAAAAAGTTTTATATATATATATATATATATATATATATATATATATATATATATATATATATATATATATATATATATATATATATATATATATATATATACATATATATATATAAGTTATTAATTCGTACTTAGGCCAATGTTTGCAAATTCTTTTGGCGCATTTATGCCAGTTCGCACCTATGCTAATTATTGAAATTGCTTTGCACTTATGCCAGTTTGCATTTATGCAAATTTGAGTTTATGCTAATTTGCACTCATGCTCATGGCCGTAGAGAAGGGGGGTCAGGGGGTATATTGTCCTGGGGCCCGGCACTGTTCAAGGACCCGGACTTGTGAATTATAAAGTATTATATTTGCCTTTTTAAATATACTGCATTTGGATTGGTTGTTCTAATTACAGTTTTTAACATTAGTATCACCATAAACGTTAAATTTAAATGCAAAACATAATAAATATTTTATAAATTTTATAAGCTAAGTTATTCGGAAATAAATCACAAGGAAAATATCTCAAGAAAAAAATTATGTAGTAAAAAATATACTTTGAACACATTATTTGGAAGCATTTATAGTTTGTATAATTCGAGTACTTTAGATCATTTGCAGAACATTAAATCACTTGCGGTATTTTAAAATTAAAGACAAAGAATGCTAGAAAATTGTCTATTTGATTCTACAGTTTAGTTTATTTTTATGTTAAAGTTAATCAGTTGTATATGGAGTTTTGTGATAAGGTATAAAACATTCAAATATAAAAATTGCTTTATTTATTAAATTATATGACGCTTAAGATCAGTGACGTAGCGAATATTTTTGCGACCGGGGCAAAAATGAAATAAATGCGCTTTTTTACAATAAAATTAAGAAATTATTACTTTTTATGATAAAATTGGTTTCATTTTTTTTTGGTCCTCAATTTTTTGGTCCTCTTAAAGCCTTCGCGACAGGGGCCATTTCCGCTTTGGTCTCCCCTCACTACGCTAATGTTTAGGAGTGTTTGTTGCACATATTGCTTTATAATACATACCGTCGATATATATATTTATTTACCGGAATGATAATTAATGCCAATTTATATAAAATCTTATTTAGTAGTCAAATAAAAAATGAACTACCATCACAAATTTGCATCTCAAAAAAGGAAAGAAAAATTGTCGAGATTGAAAAATGTTAATGAAAAACAAACTCTACTTCAAAGTTATGGATTTTTAGTGTCTTCGAAAGAGAAAGAAAATGAATATCATAATGTAGAATCTAATTTTAACAATAACGACAACGTTGTTGAACAAGCTGCAGATTTAATTAATGTGACTGCCGACTTTCCAGATCCTGATAACATAGAAAATAAAAATGACGTGAAGCCCGGCAATTAGTTCCTATCAACAATGTCTCTGAAAATTATTAATCAAATATAACTGATAATAAAATTACTAAAACAAAACTGCTTGACTTTGATGTTGGTAGTCTAAAAAATGAAAGACCAAATGCTTTTGAAATTGAGGAAGCAGTTCGTAGGGGTCCAGAAAAGATCCCATCTCAATTTCCAAAAGATGTGAACGGACATTCATTTCCTGTTTGTATACTACATACAAGTATGAAAAATGGAGAATACGTTCCCCTTGATTGGCTTGTTTGGAGCAAAGTTAAACAATCGATATTTTGTTTTCTATGTCGCCTTTTTAGATCTTGAGGAAACATTTGGTGTTGTATGGAAATACATGACATTAGATAAAGATCTGCTGCGTGAGAAAGCTTCATCTATTTGCGTTAAATTCAGCATTGATGTTTCTCTCGATTTAATAGACGATTTAGAACATTTAAAGGCAATTCACGCATCAAATCTTGGCATAATACAATTATCGCCGTTTCAATTATTAAACAAACTCCATGATTTGAAGCTTGATTCTCTTTTCCCAAACATTTTAGTTGTTCTTAGAATTTTTTGTATACTTCCAGTTACCGTTGCACAAGCAGAACTCTCTTTCAGCACGCTTGCAAGAGTTAAAAATGTTTTACGTTCTACGATGTGTCAAGATCGACTTTCTAATTTGGGAAGACTAGCGATTGAGGCGCCACTTGCAAGGAAACTAGACTTTGATGCAGTTATCGAACTTTTTGCAAGCAAAAAATCTCGCAAAGCTTATTTTGGTTAATTGCAGTGCAATTAAATACAATTATTTATTTTGAACACTTTGAATTCAAAATATTCTTTTTTTTAAAAGAAAACTAAAGAACATACTTGTTGGTCTGTAAAACTTTCTTAGAGAAATTAGAGTCTTTATTAATACTTTTTATTTTAATTTACATTCTCTTCTTTTTTATATTATATCAAGTTAATTACTTATAGTAAAAATATGAAAGAAAAGGCTACTTAATTAAAAAGCTTTTTATTACAAAATTTTTTTGCTAAATAAACTTAGTTACTCCGCGCAGCGGCCTTACTTGCTAAAGTTCGTTTTTCTGAGTTAAAGAGTTGAGAGAGGGTTGTACCACAATTAACAACAAAAAATAAAAAATAAAAACACAAAAAAATGAGTAGCCTCCTCGACTATAGTGACCCCTCGGCCTTGGGAAGGTGAAAAATGTAAAAAAAAAAAAAAAAATTCTAACAAATGCAACTTGTTAAAAAAATAAAAGATTCGTTGACCAACCTAACTAATTAAAGACACATATAGTCCTAGACTTTAAGATTGATTTTGATTTAAGTTAGACTAAAGACACGTCATAGACTTTAAGTATGATGTTTTCAATATGGATATGAATATTAATGTAAAATAAAAGGGGGCCCGCCAAAAAATTTACCCCGGGGCCCGGCTTGGCTCTCCACGACCCAGCTCATGCTATTATCATTTATGCTATGTCGCACTTATGAAACTCACACTTATTCATGTGCCCCCTTTTTTATTCCAATTTCATTCCAAAACAAATTTCATATCCATTCCAAAACAAATTTCAAGGGGTTACTTAAAACACAGCGAGCAAAACAGAAAAAATGTTTTAAATGCTCTGAGAAAGATTAATTCAGTGAAAGGTTAATCCTTCTCATCTTTATCTATCCAAAAGAAGAAAAATGTCTTTAAAGCTTACTTTAACAACTGTAACATGGCAACAGCAACAATGTCAACTTTTGAATCCGAGTCTGAAATAGAATATCAAAATTCTGAAGATTTAGAAGAACAGTCCAACAAGAAGCCACAAGTACCAACAAGAACCAAAAAAAAAACTGTAACCAAGTTAGTAACATCTTCAAAGTTATCAACCACCAAAGCAGCTCAGAAAGAATTTCTAAAATTGTAAAGAAGTGATTACCGTAACAGTAGGATGGCGTTTTGATATTAAATTTCTATTTCATTTAACTCTATTATTCCACTATTTTGAAAAATAATAAAAAATAAAGTACTTCCTAAAGTGACGTATCAGAAAATACTAAATAAATAATTTCCAAGAACTATTAGCGTTTTTGGCGTTTACTTTTCTACCAGAGAGATGAGACTCACTACTCTGGTAAAATGATCAAATATACAATACAGATAATTATAGAAAGCTATTTAACAGCACGGTCAAGAAAAAGCGTTAAACTCAATGAAAAAGTTTTGGAATCAGGAACCCTCAAGACTAAAATTTCCAGAACGAATCAGTGTGCACAACGAACAATCAAGTGTTTTCAAGTTCTTTTGGACATATGTAAAACAAAAGAGAACCTCCAGCCTAGATTTATTTTGTCTAATAAAGCATAAGAATAATATAATTTGCTTTAATTAAGCTAAATTTAATACTATACAAACATTTTTTCGATATATACAGTAGCTTTTCGTACTTGAAGAATTATTATTTAAGTTTGTAATTTTATATTTATTTGTAATTTAGAGTGTAATGATGCAACAATACACTGTTAAATGCCTAAAAACTATATAACTCCAATCTAAAAAATTAGAATTAAAATTAGAATTAAAAAATAACGTTAATAAAATTGTTTGAAATTTTATCCATACGCATGCATGATAAATTCGAAATTTTGTGGGTAACCTTGTTGAAACCAACGTTTAATAATTAAAATTAAACATTTTATCAGGTGACCTCGAATAAAAACAATGTTTATAATTTATTTTTTTTAAATTGTTTTCATCAGAAATTCTCCTACATTTTTTAAACTTTTTTTTTCAGTTCACAGCATTAGATTGAAAGAAAGAAAAAGTTTTGTCAGTTTTACTTAACAGCAAACTCAGAAAATATCGTTTGATGATAAATGATTAAGTTTAAAATCCTCCAAAAAATGCATTTATTCCCGGATTTTCTTTATTAGCACACAGATGACAAACTACGTAATAAACTAATTTTTAATTAACGTCGAATTTTTGATAATACGCCATAAAAAGCTCTTATTTTGATCAATTTGATTTTGCTAAGGTACATAAGTGATTACTCTAGTATTACGTGAAAGTATTAGTGAAAACTACGAAAAATCATCATTAATAACGCAAGTTTAAACAAACTAAAGATTACTGAATTTTAAAGGTCATATTAAAAAAGTATTTTGTTTTGAATATTTACCATTTATTAAAGACTTTAGTTGATCTTGTTTCTATACAAACTTTATTACTAAATAATCCGAAGCGTAGTTTTTAACTGACGTCGATTTGGCATACCTAACTAAAACCACTATTCTTTAAAATTCCGAGCATGTATTTTAAACTGACGTCAATTCGACATTTGGTTTAATGTGGTTCAAAGTTTATTACTAATTGTGAGCTGCAAGTTTGTTTTTCTTGATTTATATTATGAATCACTTGAGTTAACTTTTTTTAAATATTTAACATCAGGGTCAGCTACATTTTTTTATTCAAATTTTTTTCGGTGTACTAAATAAAAGAGTTAGTAGTAGTAAATGATATAAAAATATAGCAGTAGTAATATAAAAATTATTTAGTTTACTCAAACTAAATAATTGAACTTAAAAAGACGCAATTTAGTAGGTTATAAAAGATTTTGGGATTTTGGGCGTTTGATTGCTCAACTTGGTATGCTTGATTGCTCAACAGCGTTTGCTTTGCATGCGCTGATTAGCAAGCACACCAAGGCTATACTCAGACTATACACAGACTATACTTAAGACTTTACTCAGTCAATACAGAGTTTAGTCTTTTTTCTTTTCCCTATAGGAACCTTACTTCTATTATTTCATGGGTTACGCAATAGTCGCAATTGCAAATTCTACTAACAAATTTGTTACTTTTATTCAATACCGATACTTATTTTTTTCCTCAACAATTTACCAACATGCTGTTTTGCTACAAAAAAAGTATAATGAGCTAAATAATAGCTCATTAAAATTAAAATTTGAAAAAAGGTTACAAAATTTAAAAATTGTGTCCATTTGTTAAATACTGCTGAAACCAAAGTAGTACACTCCGTATAAATATTTAATGTTTTGCGTACAAATATAATAGGAATCAAAGGTCCTTAGCAAAACTTTTCATTAAAAAAATAAAAGTTAAAGACCTATAACTTATTTAACATGTCAATCATATGATAGTCTAGAGTCTGGCAAAAGTCAAGAGAAAAAACTTGAATAATTTAAGAGTTAAATTTGGAGGAGTTATATTGAATGTTTCAGAAAATTTAAGTTTGATAAATATTAATAAAGATTATTATAAAAGCTAATATTTTAGATTCATCAATACTCCATCGTTCCTAGGATTTTTTTTATTTTCATAAATAATATATATAATTAAATTATTAAATATTAATTATTTTCAAAAATTAATATATATTAGTTTATTGAAATATATAGTAGATTGTAGAAACCTGTAAAAAATCCTCAGAACCGTGAAGTATTGATGAACCTAAAAAATGTTAGCTTTTAAATAATCTCTATTAATATTTATAAAATTCGAATTTTCTGAAACATTCCAATTTTAACTCTTGAATTATTCATGTTTTTTTCTCTAGACGTTTGCACTAAAATTAATCTGGTCAGATATCACAGTAAACAGAAACTATGTAGGTCAAGGCAGAGAGAAAAAGGAAAAAAAAATTGCGGAGTCTACATATCAAGATTTACAGATTCAACTCTTTATAACATCATAACCCGCTGATAGACTGGTCATTTTAGAAGCACAGCTACTAAAAAAAGTTTTAGGTATCAGTAAATCGTTTCAGTTTAAAGTTATTCAAAAATATCCTACTCAGCTAAACTAAAATTTTATTGACAATTTAACTGAACATCGTAAAAAAGCATTAAATTCAATAATAATTCAGAAGATCCGACAAACAATGTTTCTGTTGTTGTCGTAGAAACAATGTTTCTGTTGTTGTCGTAAAAATTATAATAAGCTTTTTAAAAAGCATGGAGGTCATTACCCAAAGAAAAATAAAAACTAAATATGCCTTGAACCCAAAAGTTTTGAGCTATCTTTCTTGAATTTAAAAGTTTTCTTTCGATATTAAGATATTATTAAGATATTATTAGAAATTTAGATATTATTAGAAACTTAAGATATTATTAGAAGTTTAGAGTAACTATCTGTACTTTAACACAAATAATAAAAGTTTCTTAAGCCAAACTCACTATAAAACTAGATTCATTCAAGAAACTATGTGGAGCTTTGAAACTATGTACTAAAAGGAAAAATTTTAATTTAAAATAGTTATGGTGAGTGCAAACATGTATTTTTGAGCAAAGAGTGTCTTTTTTATTTGAATGACTAGTTCAAATAAAAATCTTCTCACTTAAATGAAAATAACATCATGCTTAATTTGCCAAAACATCCTAATAAAGTATTAGCATTTTCTTTAACAAAAAATGTCTCTAGAGATCCTACAAAGAATGCTTTTGTTTTGTTATTGATAGATTAATTAATTGTGTTGCAGTTATTGATAGAGTAAACACTCGACTTGAAATAAAGTTTGTATAGCAAACAGGCCTATCTGAAGTATAAATATAGCGTCACCTCCGTTGTATTTTCATTGTAAGTCAATAGGCTTTACTGCTATTAATTTACCACATTACTTAACATTAACTCCCATTTTGTTTTCATATAGGTTAAATAAATAAGATACATTTCAGTGACGCAAATGTGAAAAAATAAAATAATAAATACTTTTTAATTTCAAAACGTCAAATCACGTGATCAAATTTAAGGTGAAATTATCT